CTGGAACCAACTTGATGATGCCTCACAACACAGCATCTACCAGGGGCTTCCAACAGTCCATGGAAAAGTAAAATGGAAAGATAATGGACTTTTTCTAGGAACTTTCAGAAGTCTGCCTTCAAACATTCACTGTAATCACTGGTAAGAAGTCACTTCTGTCCTTTTGTTGTTAATGTGTGTCTTAGGCCGCCTTTGTGTTTGTTCTTTATTGTCTGCTTTGTGTTTTGTTGGTCAGTTTAGTGAGTTTTTTTGGTTCCCTACTTATTTTCTTTTGTGTATTTTTCAATTTCCTCAATGGTTACCATGAATATTACATTTAACAGCTCGTTGTGGCTCTGTAGGATAATGCACTGGACCACAAGGCCCGTTTGAACCACAAGGTCAGCAGTTCAAACCCACCAGCTGCTCCTATACAGGGTTGCTGTAGGATGGAACCGACTCAACTACATTTAACAACTTACAGCTCTTAGGGTGAGTTGGTATTAACCTGACTTCAGTTACATACAAGAAAGTCTGTATCCGTTACCATTCCTTTCCTCTTGTCGTCAGCAGTAATTACATCTTCCTAGTTCTTGTGCCCTGTCATTTTATTCTTGCTTTTATATGTTTTAAAAACATTTAGAACTATGATTACCTTATTACTTTACTAGCGCTTATGAGTTTATTGGAGTTCTTTCTTCTCATGTAGAGCTCTGATTTACTTTCTAATGTCTTTTACTTTTTTCTGATTTAAAACCATGCAGTATCCCTTTTTTCTGTTCAAATGACTGCCTCTTGGTTTATGTACAGGTTCTACGTGAGCACAATTTAGTATTATGGAATTCCCACTCTTGACAGTTTTATCCATAATTTGTTATGATCTACACAATCAAATGTCTTTGCATAGTCAATAAAATACAAATAAGCACTTTTCTAGTATTCTATACTTTCAGGCAAGACCTATCTAACATTAACAATGGATATCTTTTGTTGCAAGTTCTCTTCTGAATTTGACTTGAGTTTCTGGCAGTTCCTTGTTGATGTAGTGCTGCAACTGTTTCTGAGTTATTTCCAGGAAACTTTTACTTGTATGTGATATTAACGACATTGTTTGGTAATTTCCACATTATGTTGGTTCACCTTTCTTTGGCATGGGCATGAATATGGATCTCTTCTAGTTGGTTGGCCAAGTAGCTGTCCTTCAAATTTCTTGGCACAGATGAATGAGTGCTTCCAATGTCACACCTGTTTGTTTAAAATCAGTTGCTAATTCTGAATGAGATTTAGAGTGGATATTTGCAACTGGACAATTCATTTCTTTAAACCTGAAGGCAGATTGGTATGTTCCACAATGAACCCTAGTATCCTTGAGAAATCTTCTTTACCTCTGAAACATTCAGGTGCTCAAGATTCAAATATAACAATCAGAAATTCATTTTAATTATGATTCCACTTACTCATCAAACATTACATCTTTGGTGGTGGTATGCCTTGGAGTCGGTTCCAACTCATACTGACCCTTCATAGGGTTTCCGAGGCTGTAAATCTTTACAGGAGCAGAAAGCCTCATCTTTTTCCTGCAGAATGGCTTGTAGTTTCAAACTGCTGACCTTGAAGTTAGCAATCTGACTCATAGCCACTATGCTATCAGAGCTCCTTTAAGCCTATCAAATTTCTGATGATTTATTTTTGAAAAATACATCTTTAAGCTTACCAAATTTTTGATGGTCTATTTTAGAAAAATAACACTATAGAAACATTTAGAATCAAACACACAGTCTTACTGGCTTGGGTCCACACTGATATGACTGGTTTTGAATTCATGGAGGTATCGTATCAGGCAATGGGATGGAGCTTGATTAAACAGCCCTCACTGCAATGCCTTACTCTTCCTGCAATTTCACCTTCTCTGCACCTTCAAACCAGGACAACAGACCATTGTGCGTCAGTGCAAGGAATTTTCTTACCTGAAACGCTCCCTGTGGGATAAGATGTATTGGATGTTCCTCACTTCCTAATCCATATGGGTTTCCATTGATACGTGTTCCTATAAGCGTCACTGTTCGTTCTAATCGATCTGATGGCGGCACTGCATTCACTCCCCAAAGTCCTGGCTCATCAGGATGGGGCTTCAAGACTAGCAAGATTTCAAATTCATAATGAAGGATGGAGGAATGCCAGCAAGAGCGCTGGCTGTTTTTCTCTCCTGGACCCAACGGGAATCATGACCATTTTCATCAGGAACTGGTCTCCCATTCCCTTCGCTGGTACCCAGCACTCTGGAACAGGTTTGAACATTCCAAACAAAATCTTTTGAATGTAGAAATTAAAAAAATCTTTTCTCAGCTTGTTTGGTGGGTTTTCTATTAAGTGAAGCCGAAAGGTCTGGCTGACCTCTCTAGGTAGTAACATAACAACATGTCCCATCCGCATTTTCTGTTGGAATTGCACTGTGTGTACGCGCATCTCATGACTTGTGATTTCAGCTGCTAGAACTTTAAACAGCTGATGCTCCTCTTCTACCTCCGTCACAAACATACACGCTGCACTGGGCCCAGGTACTTCCTGGTGGGCCCAAGAGGCACTGTGAGTGGAGAGAGCATTTCCCAAGTGGGAGAAACACCATGACAGGCATCCTCGGCATGCCAGATACTCACAAACCCCAGACAAGGTGGCGTCAGCTTGCCCTGGAGTCTTGTTTTTCTGTCAATGCCTTCAGTGTAGCTTAAGCTTCTTCCTTCAGTACCACTGGTTCTTGGTCATATGATAACCTCATGAAAGGGGCTGAACATCAACCATTCTTTTTAGTACAATGACTCTGTGTTCCTTCCATCTTCTTTGGGTGCTTCCTGAGTTGTTCAATAATTTCTCCCTAGAATCCTTCAACATTGCAACTCCAAGCTTCAATTTGTGCTTTAGTTCTTTGAGATCTGCTATGTATATTCTTCCCTTTCATTTTTCTATCTCCATGTTTTTCACTTTTCATTATAATACTTTGTCTTCTCGAGCTGTCCTTTAAAATCTTCTGTTATCATTTTTTTGGTGTTCATTTTAGCTACTCTACAACCAAGAACAAGTTTTTATCTCTTCTGACATCCATTTTGGTCTTTTCTTTAGTTTCTGTCTTTGTAATGGCCTTTTGCATTCTTCATGTACGATGTCCTTGATGTCATCCAACAACTTGCGATCTTTGGTCACTAGTGTTCAATGTGCCAAACCAATTATTGAGATGGTCTCGAAGGCAGCTGTGATAGAATCAAGGTCACAGCTTGGTTCTCATGGGCTTGTTTTAATTTTCTTAATCTTCAACTTGAACTTGCATAGGAGGAAGTGGTGGTCTGTTCCCCAGTTGGCCCCTGGCCTTGTTCTGTCTGATGTGTTTCTCCATCATCTCTTTCCACAGATGCAGTTCATCTGGTGCCTCATCTGTCGAGGTCCATGTGTGTTGTCACTGTTTATGTTCTTTGGAAAGAAAACAAGGTATTTTCAATGAACAAGTTGCGGATCCTGCATTCTATCATGTGATCTCCGGTGTCATTTCTGTCACCAAGGCAATGATATTTTCCAACTAGCGATCGTTTTTTTGTTTCCAACTTTCACCCTGTTGTTGTTAACTGCTGTGGAGTCATTTCCAATTCATAGCGACCCTGCATAGGTTTCTGAGGAGTGGCTGGTGAATTTGAACCACTGGCCTCGTAATTCAAACTGACCTTATGGTTGAGCACTTATCCTACAGCGCCACACCAGGACTCCACATTGCAATCACCATAATTATCAATGCATCTGAATGGAATGTTTGGTAATTTCAGACTGCAGAAGTTGGTAAAAATGTCCCATGACTTCATCTTTGTCACAGTGGTTGATGCTAAACAATAGTGACAAGCTTATGACTGATCTTCCTTGTGTAGGCACAGACATTATCCTATTGCCGACAGTATTGTACTTCAGGAGAGATCTTGAAAAAAATTTTTTGATGATGAATGCAACACGATTCCTCTGTGTCATTCCTGACACAGTAGACCATATGATTCAAAACGGTCAATCTCAGTCCAGTTCAGCTGACTACCATCTAGGATATGGATTTTGAGGCATTCCAATTCACTTTTTGACAACTTCCCATTTTCCTTGATTCATACTTCACATACTCCATCTTCTGATTACTAATGGATGTTTGCAGCTGTTTCTTCTCATTTTGAGTGGAGCTACATCAGAAAATCACAGTCCCGAAAGCTTTACTTCATTTGAATCATTAAGGTTGACACCACTTGAGGGCCTGGTGTGGTGCAACAGGATCAGCACCGGACTGCTAACTGCAAGGTTGGTGGTTCAAACCCACCAGCCACTTCTTGGAAACCCTATACAGAGCTGCTAAGGGTCAGAATTGATTCAATAGAACTTAACAACGACTCTGAGGAGGTAACTTCCCCAGTTGTATTTTGAGAGCCTTCCAAACAGAGGGCACTACCTTCTGCCATTCTGTTCTGCCGCTACTCTTATGGCTTCCAGTGACAGTGTTTTTTTGACAGTAGAGCTCCAGCTTTTTCCTTCTAGTCTGTCTGTTCCTGTTTTCATTCAACACAGGCTGGGAGGCCACAGATACGTGAGCAATCCCCTGGTCCCCTCTTGAGACCAGCACCTCTGCCTGTCTTTGATCTGCAGTGTGTCTCCTCTCCATGACACTGTGAATTGACAGGGGCCCTGCAAACCTCAGTGCATAGGTGCAGGTGCCCCACACAGGCAGAGAGCACTCATCAGCCTCAGGCTACTGCTCCCCCCAATACCAGCAGGAACCTACTACCTCCTGACCACTCCCCTGCCACTCAGCGCCCACCTGCTGAAGCAATGGGATCCTTCAGGGCCATTTACCAAACAGACCCAAGTTCACTCAGTCTCTGGGCCCAATACCAGTAAAGAGACACTGCTGGTGACAAACTTACATAAATCTATTCAGTTACGCTGAATAGAGTAAAGGACAATGATACACAGTAAACACATGGGATGTGGAAATCCTCTGTACTTACTCTTCTCGTTGGGGAAGGAGTAACATCAACTTCCATGGTCTCCGCTCTGTTGAATACACTGTAATATACACAAGTTAGCCTGCGACTTCTATATCATTAAACGACATCCTTACACATAACCTGACTGTGTGTGTGACTGTTGTAAACCTCCCTCCAGTTTCCTAAGTCAGTCAGAGGTCACTAAATCACCAACCGGATCATTGCCGTTGTCCTCCATGTAGCTGCTGCCTGGCTGCCCACACTGCATCCAGGGCATGAAGAACAGCATTCTGATTTTGCCCTTTCCTAGCTCCTGGACCTCAGTATACCTAATGGACGTTTAGAACTGCCCAGAAGTGGGGACATCTTATTTGCCTTTGTGGTGTGTTTTATGTAACCAGTACTTAACATTCATTAGCCCAAAGGGGGATAGCACAGTCCCCTTTGGGCACCCTGTGGGAGGAAGGATCACCCAGTCTCTCTCTGACTGTCTGCTAACTGCCTGACGCTGTGCTGTCCGAGAGTGAGCAGAGGGAAGGGGGTGGGGACCAACAGAAGGACGACAAGTGTCTTGGTGATCCTTCCACCAGGACCTCTGTCTGTAAGTCAACACAGATCAAATAATTTTAAAGGAAAAAAGTAAAACAAAATCCAGCACTGTGCAGAAGGCATTACTGGTTTTCAGAGCTGAAAAGTTCCAGGTAGTCTCTTTTCAGCCAGGGTGGGATCCAGGTCCCAAAGGGTACCACCACACAGTCTCGGCCCTCAGCCCACCTCAAGCTCACCCTCCCCAGGTAGCGGGGAAGATCAGCTCTCCTCCCTTTGCCAGTGAGCCTCTTTTCAGACATCTGCATGGGCTTGAACCGACCACTATGGCCACAGTGATGGGGTGCTCTGACTGACCATCCACTTCCTTCTGGACCCTGAGTTGCACCAGGAGAGGAAGGAGGCTTCCTGGGAGCATTCCACGGGTGTGGGGGGGTAGGACCACTCCATGCTTACACCAAAGGCTCTCGTGTTCACACAGCTGGGCCTAAGCAGGACACTTTCAGCAGTTCCCTTTCTCCTGAGTTTCCGTCCTCAAGGGCCTAGGGCAGCATCTGCCTCACCCATCTCCTGCCCTGGAGATAGGATCCAGAAGCGCTGTCTTCTCTTTTCTCTTTCCCTCTCCCTCCCACCCCAGGCTTCACACAAGTCTAGGGGATCAAAAGTCTGAGAGTGGCCACTGAACTCTAAGACTGAGTATCCAGCAGAATGTCCAAGATTTGGGTAACTCGGGATTTGGAAGGTCATGGTACGGGGCGGGAAAAGTAAACTTGTCCAAAGGAAGAATCGTGCAACTTACAAACGCTGGTTCAGTACTTTTCGTGAGCTTTCCAAGGCCGATGAACTAGGCGGAAAGAGCAGGTATCCATTTGGCTTTGCTGAAGGTGCTGTGGTGAAAATCTCACCGTTAGAGCGTTACTGGGGCACGCCAGCAGCAGGCAGTTTGGGCACATTTACGTTACTTACTTGACATGGAAGTTTTCATTGTGTTGAAAGCTGGCTGTTGCGATGATCTCACACTAGATAGACAGAGACAAGGTATTGGATGGAGCCCTAACAACAGGCTGCTGACTGACTCATTCCAATGCAAAGTCTAGAAAGGACAAAGGGCTCTCTGCTCTGCCTGTTCAATCCCTACATGAAGATGTAATGAACACACACTGCCCTTTCCACTATGGCTGCACAAATGGCCATTAGCAGGTGTGAAATCAAGCAGACAAAGATGGTACAACAGGAGCCACCAATTCACAAAAGCAAACTGCTTTGTAGAGGTCATCAAGAGATGTGCTCTTACAGAAAAGGCACTGAGACATTCTTTGAGAGTTAAAAGGAAGTTCTAGATCAATCTCCACGAGGCAGCAATATGACCAAGACAGCAGTGCCTGAGGTCCACAGCCCAGTGGTCCAGCTCAGGCCCTGCCTGCCCCTCTGTACAGCTTCCGATCTGAGCTCATGTCCCTTGAGGCTCTAACCACAGGTTTCAGATCGAGGTGAGCCCCAGGTGTCTGCCTCATGAGCCACGGTGGGTACCAGTGAGCGATGTGCAGATAGGCAAGATGCTTTCAGGTGCATTCAGGGCACCCAAAGGATTAGGGGAGGCTGGGCCTTCTCCTCTGCCCACCCATCTCCTCTGACTCAGGCCCTAACAAACCAAACTGTCATGCCCTCAAGGAGTCCACTTTAGGGGTCAGACTAGTCAGGAAAACAATTGTGCAGTTGGGGAACTGGAAGACGGTTCTGAAGGAAAGCCCCCGAAGACGACAGAAGTAACAAAAATGCAGAGACACCAAAGATAGGCTGAGCAGGTCTCTTGTGCTCCTATCAGACGGACAAGAAGAGCCGAGAGAGAAGTAACCTTAAAAAAATCCTTTTTCAGAATGAAATTTATGGATCCACAGAAAGAAAGCAAATTATACACCAAGAATAAACAAACGTAATTCCCTATTTAGATAGATCAGAAGTAACTGTGAAACTTTAAAGCAGGAATTGGCAAATTTCTCTGTAAAAGGACCCTCGTGAGTATATTACTTAAGGAACCCTGGTGGCATAGTGGGTTATGTGTTAGGCTATTAAACACAGGGTTGGCTATTTGAATCCAATTGTCGCTCCACGGGAGAAAGATGAGGCTTTCTGATCCTGTAAAGATTCTCAGACACCCTACACAGGGTTGGTTTGAGTCGGGACAGATGTCAGTAGCACACAAAAATAGCACTAAGTCCATTGGGCTTGGCCATATTAGATCTCTGTCACATATTCTTTTCTGTCACAATCCTCTAAACATTGAGGCGCCATCCTCCGCTTGGGGGTACATAAAGCACTCTGCCTGTGGCTGCTGAGCCCTGGGTTACACTAGTCACAAAGGACGCCCCCCCGCAACGCCTACAGCCCAAAGCATGGCAGCTGGACAACAGGGCCTGCAACCACTACGTGATCACCAGCATCGTAGCTTTCCTTCTGTCCGGAGGCCCTCGACTTGCCATGGTCAGAACAGATGCAGGGTGCACTGGGCAGCAGATAGTGATCCAACAGGGTCATCAGCTCCCATGACCCTGAATGTGTCCCCCACGAAACTGTGACTGTGAATACTCAGCATGTGCACAACTGCTTAACAAAAATCATCCCCTATTTCCTAAAATCGAAGGTATCTGTGTTTTACATGTTACATGCATGTGAACCACTGTGTTAACTGAATTTCAGGGACATTCCTGAAGAGAACACACATGCACACAGATGCAACACAGGAAGACACTGATGAGCCGAAATGGACGAGACGGAGACCTCTCCGTTGCTACATTTTCTAGGGGTTGAGATGTAATACTTTCTGCCCTCATTTTTATTGAATTCCAGCCACTCTGGGTGTATCTTTCTAAAACGCACCACGCGCTCACAGCGTGCTGTGTGGACTGACCCTGCTTCAGGCTGGGCCCACCGGGACCTGACCGCACAGTCTGCTGAGCAGGACTGGTGGCTCCGAGGTGGCCTGCTGCCCTCTCTCCTGCCCGCATGCCAGCCATGCCCCTCCCTGCCGTTACCCCAGGAATCACGGGCCAGCCCACCCACTGGAGAATCTAGGCGTCTGTTTTTTTCCACTTTCTTTTTCTTCAGTTCCCTGGTATTTCTGCTTGAGGGAAGTTTCTAGTAAATGACAGAGCTTTCTCTGCTCACAGCCTGAGAGGGCTGACAGGGGGGCAGCCTCTCCTGCTGAGCCCCAAGGGGGCCTTACCTTTGTAACTGCTCAATCTCCAGCATTGCCTTCCTAAGGGAGTCTTCCAACTTAGAGATCTAAACGCAACCAGAGGGCCTCTAGTTAGCAGGACGGACTACACCAAGGGACGCTTTACACAACACATGCGGACCCTGGGAAGGTTTTCACACTTGTTATCCGTGGATTCACATCAAGTCCAACATGCCCCATATTTACCACCTCGATGTTTAACAGTTATCAGTGCAAAGCTAATGCAACCCCAAGCCCCAAGAGACACGGTTCCACCTGCTGTATCCCCAGACTTGTGTGGACTAACAGGTGTGAGAAGTGCAGCCAGAATCCTCCTTAGAAGCAAGGATGGTGTGGCTTTGTGTCTCATACTTGGACACGTTATCAGGAGGGACCAGTCCCTGGAGAAGGACATCCTGTTTGGAAAAGTGGAAGTTCAGGAAAAAAGAGGAAGAGCCCCACTGGGATGGACGGACACAGCGGCAGCAATGGGCTGCAATGTGAGAGCACTCTTGTGAGGATGGCACTGGATTGGGCAGTGTTCGAGTCACTATGAACCGGAGCCAACTCGACAGCACCTAACAACAACAGGTGTGAGCAGACGCCCGAATGAACTTCAGTGCTGGCCAGATTTTTACCAATGTATCCTCCCTCAGATTTTAAGAGACAAACTACTGTAATGTGTCAAATCTTTTTAAAACCCTGGTCTTTGCAGTCCAACTGAGTCTGGATGCCAGCTCACGGGAGTGGGAGAAATGGGACTTGGGAGGGAGGGGGGAAGCTGCCCTTACTCCTCACAGTGATAGCCTCTTCCTGGAAAACCTCTGTGCTGTGGACCCCCACCCTCAGCCCTCCCCAGCCCCCAGCCAGGACTGGACTCAGGACAAATGGCAGGGACTTGGGAGGAGGCAAGAGGCAGGTGGCTCTTGTACTGTGGCTGTTGACACCCAGATTCTATTCGGGCCCAGACAAGAAGCAGCAAGACAGAAGTCAGGTGCAGAGGGAGCATCCAGACTCTAGAAAGGGGCCCAGGATTCTGAGCCTTCACTATCCCTCTCCTTACGTTTCTTATTCCAGAACCTCTCAAATGACAAACCTGGGTAATAATCATACAAGGGGATGGAATAAGGCGTATGTATGAGCTGCTGCTGCCCAGATGAGGAGGGTGGCCCTGGTGTGGTGTGGCATGGCTCAACAGTCACCTGGAAGTCTGGGGGGTGGGGGGAAGTGCATGCAGCCCTCCCGCTGCGCTGTCCATCTTCGTTTCTCTCACCCTGTCTCTACCCATGTCCTTCCTCTTCCAGTCGGCACACCCCTCTGCTGAGACCCCGTTCATCTGAATCACATGGATGAATGCAGGCCTGTCATGCAAGGGTGTTTCTTACTGTTCCCACTCAACTGTTCCTTTCCTCCTATGTTTACTTTGAAAAGCAAGTCAGTAGAGTGTCTGACAGTCACACGAAGAGGCAAGGCTCCAACGTTTGCGTCATGATTACAAGGCATATTTCACAATGACTGGGTAAGAAAAGGGACCTCAGGAGTCTGAGTATGTATGGCAAAGGTGGAATCCCAGAATTCCTGGAGGTGGAAATGCCCCCCAAGTACCAAACTGTAAGGAGAAAATACCACCCCAAGAGACTACATAGCTGACCCAGACCCAGGGGACCGGATGGTCTGAAGGGGAGACATGTGACACCCCAGCTCCAACACCTCCCATCACTGTAACAGCAGTGGATAACAGTCCCCTCCCACCCCACCCCCCGCCCCATGAGAGCACATGCAGCAGCCTGGCACTGCCATCAGGGCACAAGGCAAGGGCTTGCTGACTCACCTTTTCTCGATAGAAGGTGTATAGTCTCCTCCTGTGTTTGTCCTGAAATTCTGAAATCTGAGAACAGGCACATTTCACTGCCGACACTGGTGCACGGACTCGGTAGTCGGTGGTTTGGTTCCAGAGAACTAGGAGGTTGGAAGGACCCTGGCCTCCAATTCACAGGTCTTTCCCCAACACACACTGGGCTCCTCCACCTGGGCACAGGCCCACCTAGCCCCAGCACCTGGCCCAGAGCCTACGCTCAGTCCCCCTTAGCTCCATGACTGAATCAGTCATGTGCCAGCAGGGAACGGTCAAAGGCAAGCACAGGTTGGGTCTAACGTGTTCAATAGAAAAGCTTAGAAGGCACGAAATCCTGTCTCCCAGCAGCCCTTCCCTGCTGGGTTAGTGGTGCTCTCGCTCCCACTGCCTCGCTCCTGCCATGGGGATGGGACACATGACCCACAGCTGGCCAATGCCAGTGTACTGCCCAAGGAATGGCCTCCTGACCAAACAGTGCCCATCAGAGAACATTCCTGAAGCTGAGATACAGACCAGGGAAAGGGGAGGTGGGGTGGTGTGGAGAGACAGGCAGAACGATGGCAAGACTGACTAGTTAGGAAGGACCTCGGAGTCCCTGGTCTGAACACACGTCCAGTCCAGTCCACGGCAAACAGGCATCATCCCTGGGGCCCCGCCTAAAGGAGCCCAGGATTCCACACACACCGCATTGCCCTCATCTGCACTGGGTCTCGGAGAACACAGGCAGGATTTATCAGGAGAAGAAGAGCTGCCTCTCTTCAGCCTCTGCTCAGACTCAACTGGACAGCGGCGCTCAGAGCGTCAGGGTGAACTATGAAAGTCAGAACCCTAGAGCGCAGTTTCACGGCACCTCAGGAATCTGCTCATGAAACACAAACATGAAAGTATTGTGTGTCTGCCCTCATTACCCATTGTCCAGTACAAACGGAGAGAGAAAACTCCCCTGGCCAATGGAAGTGTGCCCCCAACACCACAGGACTGCCGTGCACTGTCCCTCCACGGTGTGTGGGGCACTGCTGTCCTTGTGGAACAAGCCAGTGCCTGATCAAGAACTACAAACACCTGTGGCCCCTTCTTGGCTCCTGCCTCTCCAGAGTTTCCTCACTCGGTGTGTTTTCATCAGCAAGAAAATGAAAAGACAAGTCACATAGTTGCTCACACATCTGAGAAGAGATTTGTAGTCAAGATATGTGAGAAACACAATCCCTTTTGAGATAATTC